TAATGTGTGCATACACACTCAGAGGACAGTTTTATTTCTCAACTGTTGCTCTTTTAGATCTCAGCAGACTTAGAGTTTGCAGTTGTGGTTTATTTTAAGTGTCAGTCTCAGATGTTTTGCTGAATTTCCTTAGATGGAAAATATAAAATCAAAAGGGACAGCAGCGACAGCTGTTTATATGCAGTTAGAGTGCAATGAAATGTGTGTGGATTGCATAGCCCAGATAGTTTGGTCTTGAAAAAAACAGTTGAAAAATGTTTGAGTTCATATTGAAATATTTTTGTCATTTTGGCAAATTAGAGCACAATTTGAGGTTTCTTATGAACCTCTAATAAATTGATTAATGTATTTTTAACAAATTACTGTTTTATATATATATATATATATATTTAGAATTACAGAATAGAATCGGGCAGAATATTACTGATTTCAGATTTATTCTGTTTTTGTTAAGTTCAAATCATTTAAAAAATGTTTTATTAATTTCAAATCATTGTAGTATATATAATGAAAATAAGTGTTCATTTTATTGATACATATTGATATTTGACATTGATATACAGTGGGTACGGAAAGTATTCAGACCCCCTTAAATTTTTCACTCTTTGTTATATTGCAGCCATTTGCTAAAATCATTTAAGTTAATTTTTTTTCCTCATTAATGTACACACAGCACCCCATATTGACAGAAAAACACAGAATTGTTGACATTTTTGCAGATTTATTAAAAAAGAAAAACTGAAATACCACATGGTCCGTATTTAGAGTAGAAGCACCCTTTTGATCTAATACAGCCACGAGTCTTTTTGGGAAAGATGCAACAACTTTTCCACACCTGGATTTGGGGATCCTCTGCCATTCCTCCTTGCAGATCCTCTCCAGTTCTGTCAGGTTGGATGGTAAACGTTGGTGGACAGCCATTTTTAGGTCTCTCCAGAGATGCTCAACTGGGTTTAAGTCAGGGCTCTGGCTGGGCCATTCAAGAACAGTCACAGAGTTGTTGTGAAGCCACTCCTTCATTATTTTAGCTGTGTGCTTAGGGTCACTGTCTTGTTGGAAGGTAAACCTTCGACCCAGTCTGAGGTCCTGAGCACTCTGGAGAAGGTTTTCGTCCAGGATATCCCTGTACTTGGCCGCATTCATCTTTACCTCGATTGCAACCAGTCGTCCTGTCCCTGCAGCTGAAAAACACCCCCACAGCATGATGCTGCCACCACCATGCTTCACTGTTGGGACTGTATTGGACAGGTGCCTGGTTTTCTCCACACATACCACTTAGAATTAAGGCCAAAAAGTTCTATCTTGGTCTCATCAGACCAGAGAATCTTATTTCTCACCATCTTGGAGTCCTTCAGGTGTTTTTTTAGCAAACTCCATGCGGGCTTTCATGTGTCTTGAACTGAGGAGAGGCTTCCGTCGGGCCACTCTGCCATAAAGCCCCGACTGGTGGAGGGCTGCAGTGATGGTTGACTTTCTACAACTTTCTCCCATCTCCCGACTGCATCTCTGGAGCTCAGCCACAGTGATCTTTGGGTTCTTCTTTACCTCTCTCACCAAGGCTCTTCTCCCCCGATAGCTCAGTTTGGCCAGACGGCCAGCTCTAGGAAGGGTTCTGGTCATCCCAAACGTCTTCCATTTAAGGATTATGGAGGCCACTGTGCTCTTAGGAACCTTAAGTGCAGCAGAAATTTTTCTGTAACCTTGGCCAGATCTGTGCCTTGCCACAATTCTGTCTCTGAGCTCTTCAGGCAGTTCCTTTGACCTCATGATTCTCATTTGCTCTGACATGCACTGTGAGCTGTAAGGTCTTATATAGACAGGTGTGTGGCTTTCCTAATCAAGTCCAATCAGTATAATCAAACACAGCTGGACTCAAATGAAGGTGTAGAACCATCTCAAGGATGATCAGAACAAATGGACAGCACCTGAGTTAAATATATGAGTGTCACAGCAAAGGGTCTGAATACTTAGGACCATGTGATATTTCAGTTTTTCTTTTTTAATAAATCTGCAAAAATGTCAACAAATCTGTGTTTTTCTGTCAATATGGGGTGCTATGTGTACATTAATGAGGAAAAAAAATTAACTTAAATGATTTTAGCAAATGGCTGCAATACAACAAAGAGTGAAAAATTTAAGGGGGTCTGAATACTTTCCGTACCCACTGTATATATATATATATATATATGCATATATATATAACATACAAAAAAGCATCAAAAATATAGTCCATATGACTTGAGGATGAGTAAATGGTGACAGAAATGTGATTTTATGGTGATCTATTACTTTAAGCAAAGATCTCCTTTTCTTCTCCATGTAATCTCACTGAGTGCTGAGTGCTGACTAGGAGAAATAATTGAGATTGACTGAGATCTCATCTGTATTTTTTGGGCACCCCGTCTTTCTCTTTCTCTGTATTTCTCAAGACTGACAGTTGAGGTAAATTGCACCTGGGTAAGTGAAAGGTAGAGCATGGGAGGAAATAAAGATTTAGGGAAGGAAGGAAGGTTTAGGGAAGGAGAATTGGAGAGTAAAGATCATGACTATTCGTTAGCCGTGCCAGATAATCTTGGGTGGAAAGATTGAGACACCCTCTTCAGTGAAGGGCACATTTTCTCTGGGGCTTTCTACAGGATTCATTAGACACCGGACTGTTGAAATAAATCAAGAGTGAAGGACAGAAAGCCTTTCAAGAGGTGGTCAGTGGATGCCTCTTATATTCAGGGGATTTATTGAGCATATATTTTTTAGTTGTTTTAAGAAAATTCTCCTTATAAGACTACAAAAATACAGGCTTCATTTCTGTGAGGGCTTCTCAGGCCAAACCCCTTGATTGGATGAATAATGCCACTGTAAATAGAAATGTCATTGAGCAATTGTCTGCTGATTAATTTCCGCAGATGAGAAGTTCAGCCCATGCTGATATTTATGAGCTAAATTTAGAGTAATCACCGGGTTATGAACACATTGTTTATAGAAATAATATTCTCTAGAAACAAATAGTATTTTCTGGAAATAATAATTTCTCTATGTGAAATGAATGTTGTTTAGAATAATCCCTTTTTTGTCCAATTTGATATTGCTGCCTCTCTCCCTCTAATTCTTTCTTTCTGCTTATTTTTGCCATTTTCTTTTAAAAATCACCCCTGTGAAATGAGTCTTGCAGTCTTTGTTAGTTTGGTAATCTGTTTTGAGGTCTTCATAAAAAAATGCAATTCAGTATACACAGTCCTGGGTCAAGATTGATTTACTTTTATTTTGCTCGGTCTTAACAAACCAAGCTGGATTCAAATGCTTATTGTAGACTGGAACACACATGTATTAGTTCGAAAGATGTTTATTTTTTTATGTAAATGACAACATTACAATTAACCAATTTATATTAGATTAAGAAGCCATTTATATACAAACCCAATTCCAAAAAAGTTGGGACACTTGCATTCTGTTTTTATTCACAATTTGTACAGTGTCCCAACTTTTTTGGAATCGGGTTTGTAATTGACTCCATGATTGGCTTAAAATGCATTTCCTGTCTATTTGATATGCAAGTATAAGACTTAGCATCATTGTTTAGATATTATTAATGTGCTCCTGTAATAGCAGGTTGTTTCTGCTCTGCCTTTGTTATGCAGTACCATGCTGTTTACATGGGCTGTGTAAATGCTGTAACCTGTGGGTCTTCAACAAGGGTCTGGGAAAAAAGAAGTAAATGTTAAGTTCCTAGTTAAATAAAAGTTAAATTCAGCAAGGATGCATTAAATCAATAAAATGTGACTGTAACGACTTTTACATTGTGTCAAAAATATTCAAACAAATGCCGTTCTTTCTATTTCTCAAGGAATCTTGAAAAAAGTACTATGATTTCTACAAAAATATTAAGTAGTACAACTAACACTGATAATATTAAGAAATGTTTATTGAGCCCTAAATCGGCATATTAGAATGATTCCTGATGTATCATGTGACACTGAAGACTGATGAATGAAAAGAACATGAAGGCTATCTTGTGAAATGCCTGCAAATATGTGAGAAGTGTACTGTACCATCCCAGAGAACGCTGCAGTCCTAAGTGTATATCAGTTATGCAGAGCTGCAGGTGCTACACTACTTCCTGGAAATGGAACCTACACTGCGGCTGATGGACCAAGATGCCAGCTGCCTTACTGCTCACCTACTGCTGACCTTGACCTTGCTTCTTTACCAAGGATGCCAGACCAGACACCTTTAGTCCATTTTTCTTCAAAATCTGAATTTTATTTTTGTAGCTTAGTTAAAAATATGGCTTTTGGGGCTGAGGAAGAAGTTTTGAGTTCTGAAAGTTACATTACATTAACATGTCACTTTTTACATTTCAGAAGATGAAGTGACATTTGCCTATATTGTTCAAATCATACTGAAGTTTTTTTTTTAATCGTGAAAAATGATCTCAAATCATGTAATAATGAGATTGTACAGGGAACTGCTTTTATAAAACCAGCTTTAGAGAGATGATAGAAGCACCCACAATTGTCTTCATATTCCCCTGTGTTTGTGGCTCTCATGGTGCTCTTGTGGCACTTTATTGTCTAGGTTTAATTATGCCTGGTTGTTTTGACCTCTTGGCAGCCTATTTAAACCTGTCTGTGTCGCTGCACATAATAACTATTGCATTTACATAAACCATGAATATTTAACACACACACACACACTAAGATGAGGATGTCATCTCTCAATTTTCTATTACAATACTTGTCAGTTTGCTATGACATCACATGAGTTGGTTTGTTTAAAAGATGGATTCCTCAACTAAGTTCTGTATTCCTGTGCTTGAAGAATTCATGTACCCAAAAAAGAGCATTCAGTGACCGATACAATTCCTGAAAGAAGAAAGAAACTCATAGTTTTAGAATAACAGGAAGATGAGTAAATGATGACAGAATTTTCATTTTTGGGTGAACTATATGAAACGGATAGACGTTAATATTGTAACCTGTTTTTTTTTTTTGTTTTTTTTGCAGACAAGTTTAATGTGTATGTCACGCTGAAGGCCCAGAATGTTAAAAGTACAACCATCACGGTGCGAGGAGACCAGCCCTGCTGGGAACAGGATTTCATGTTGTGAGTATTGCTGTTTTTGTGTTTCCATGCTTTTGGAAATGTCTGTAGCACTGTAACACTCAAATCTGTGCCTAATGAAAGGGCCCCAATTCACAAACCCACTCAAAACTACTTTGCTATGGAAAATGGAAGAATGTTTATGAGCACAACAAACTGGATGTGCAGATATGTTCTTTGAAGAAGAAAACACTCACACACACACACA